TCACTACTTAACTATTAGATTCAATATATCTGAAATATGGGAAGTTTTATTCATCATTTCCTTGATACAGACATATATTTGGCACCAAATTACTATTTTGTTAAGCCAAACTATGCATATTTATTACTGCTTCATTATATTACAAGCATGTATGAAGCATCTTATTCCTGTAAGTAACTCTGGAGACGGCTCGAGCGGTCCCTTTAAATGCCTAAGCAAAGGCCTCTGGTTTGTAGCAATCCAGATTGTTGCCATAGCCTACTCCTAGTATGTCACAGTATCTTTTGTAAAAACCGATCCGATCCTCCACCTGTGGGTTAGACCTTTACCACATTCAATTCCACCGTTGATGATATTGGTGATCACACCATAGCCAGGGACACGAACCGGCTGCTGTATCTGCTGCCGATGGCCTCCATGTTCCGGTGATGACGTCGTGGCATGAAGGTTTTTGCGATTGGGGTGTCATCCAAAACCAAAACTTGTCTTGAAGAAACTACTGGATCGTTTGCAACAGTTTTCGGGGCTGTTTAGCAGATTCATTCCGATGGCTCTTCCTGCTGGACCATAGTTGTAGTTGCTGGCAAGTCATGGTAGACGTCCGAGTACAAAGTTAAGTTTTTGTGATCGATGCAATTTAGAAGAAGAGGACAAACATGTTCTAATCTGTTGATTATCTAACCAAAGTAAAAAAGACAAACACTTACTGTGTGATTTGGAATGGGGCCTCGACCATAGTACTTCTTACCAGGAACGCATGGCCATTGTTGACTTTGAGTACAATAGTCTGGTGGGTTGCCTCGTTCTTCTTTGAAGCAGTATCCCCATGCATATGGACCATCTGGTGCTGTAGGCCACCCACCTATGTTAATCCATTCAAACTTATAAGTAATCATGTTATCATTATCTTTTTTTTGTTTCACAGAAATAGCCTCCACATACACGGGTATGAATATATAAACCAGATCCTCTACAAACCCCAAAGTGATAAGAACGTTTTTTCTTTTTCTTTTATCATTTGCTAGTTAACTAATACTTTCATTCGGTGGAAATGATGAAAAATAGGAGAGATACACTTTCAATCATTCAAGAATGAACAATAGAAATAATATATTTTTCTTCTTTTATATTTGGTTGGATGGATGAAAAATAAAAATGACCAATTTTTTTTTTATTTTTTTGTCTAATATTGAGGGTGACCATCGAGTGATTTCGTATCAGATTCGTGTTGAGTCATAATATTATGAGCATTTTATATTTCTTATTTGCGTGTCAGATTATTTTCAAGTTCGTGTCGTGTTATAATCAAGTTCGTGTCATAAAATTCGTGTCAAATTTGAGTCGTATTATCGTGTTGAATCAAAAAATTTCACCCCTAAAAGATAAAAAAAAAAAAAATTAATTTAAAATTTTTAATTTTATTTAAATATATATATATATATATATATATATATATATATAATCATATTTAATCATTGTATTTTTATATGAAATTAATGTATACATAATATATAGACAAATAAGATACATCTAAACAAAAATAATTAATTTTTCATCAACTTTCCTTCCAATTTCTGAGGGATTGATTTTGGTGAGTTGGAAGGAAAGTTAATTCATCAGCTTTTTCTTCATTTCTATTTTCTTTCCTTACCAAACATAATATTTTATTTATTCATCCAATTTTCTATCCTTCTATTTTTTCATCGTATCAAACGGAGCATTAGGGTTGAACTCTTTTTTATGTATCACTAATTATCTCCTCCCCTGGGCATTGTGACCATGCATGTCATTTTTCGAACATACAGGAGAGCCTTGGCATAGAGTAATACTGGACTGATCAAACACGATATCAAAAACCAAGACCGGGTTAATTAAATTAGAATTTCAAGGAAAATAAAAGCCGAATCAGAAGCAACAAATCATTATGTCAACAAATCTTAGGTCCCATTAGCATTACTCCTATCTTATTAACATGTGGGTCTGGATATGGTTGCCAACATTACTGTAAGAAACATTATACCTGTGGTTTCATGGGATGTTTGTGCCATAAAGGCAGCAATTTCTCTCTTACGAATGTCTGTAGCACCAGTTGTTCCAAAAGCTCCAAATGACTTGGCTGCAGCTACGAAAGCATCATAAGTGTAGAACCCTTTCGCAAGGCAAGCCGCATCATTCCGATGCTTCAACATCTGATCAAATTGGGTTCTACTGATGATCGAACCGACATCGCCTTGAGACAAGGCTCCTATGATAGACAAGAAACAGAACAACGCCACACCCCAAAACCTCATTTTTTCTCTCTCCCGCTTTATTTTGGCTTAATTGGTGTCTCTTAATATGTGGGTTTTAGCGTAGAAGAGGTGGGGTATATATAGGAATGGTTTTGATGGGTTGGGTTTGGGTTTGCATTTTTTTTTGGGGGGGTGGGGGGAGAGAGACTTTTCTTTTAATAGGATATTTTAACCATTGATTATCAGTTTTTAATTTCTAACGATGTCGAGTCATCACTACACATACCAATCTTAATTAGTGGTCGCGAATAGATGCCATAAGGAAGACTTGGGTTTGGGTTTGCATGTGGGGTGGGGGAAGCGAGACTTTTCTTCTGATATAGACATTTTAACCATTGATTATCGATTTTCAATTTCTAACGATGTGGAGTCATCACTACATGTATCAATCTTAATTAGGGGTCGTGAACAAACGTCATAAGCAAGACTCTAACCACTGATATTTTTAAGTAGGACAATGAAAGTTCATATTCGATACATTTCTTTTCTTCTTCAATTGATCATAGTTATGTTATTCCATGACTCCCACTACACTTTTCTTTTGATAATATTAATGTTGGGATATTTTAACCATTGATTGACAGATTTTAAAAGTTGTATTAACCGCAATCTCTAATTATGTCCTAAAAAATACGTGTGTTTTTGAGTTATCACTACATGCATCCATCTTGATTTGCTTGAATCGGGGAAGATGGGATTTGAGCAATCTTACCAATACAAACAAATTTTGGGGTCCAAACTTCAAGACACGAAAAATGGGTACAGTCTAATTCTTTACAAGAAAACTTGATACAACCTTAATTACAACACTAAAATCTATCCTAAACTAATATAAAAACCACTACTAATGATGCCCAAGTCATGAGAACTGTTATTTCTTGAATTTAAAGAGTCATATTAACTGATCCTAATTCTTTCTTTGATTATGTTGTCCCTTATAAAAACTTAATCATCTTTTCGTAAATAGCTCCAATCTTAAAACTATTACTCTTCAAATTTCAAACGTCATACCGACTGGCCTATCTTTTCCACATTACTCAGAATGCCAACCACGTGGCAAGTTCTTTGAAGATTTTTTCGTGACATGTGTCTTTCCTTGTACATCCCAAAGTAACATATTTACCGTCCCTGGATGTTTTTAATTTTCTCATGAGCTTAATCAAGAGAATGTACCTTGGACCCGAAAAGAATGTACCATTTGGACAAGTTAGGCGGGCCTATAAGGGTATTTGTCGCCTTGCGTGTTGAATAAGACACCTGTATTACAGTCAAGATTCTCAGTCGGTGTCTAGAGACCTTTCCATCAAATCTTTCTCATACCATCAGTTAAAAACACCTCAAGTACTATGGTAAAGAAAAGGGTTGATAAGTATTTTTGGTTCTCCAAGAATGTATTTTTTGTTAATTTAATTTTTATTGTATTAATTTTTTTAATTTGGTCCTTATAATATTTAAATTAGTGTCATTTTAGTCATTAATCACACAATTTTTTAATTTTTTTATGGAAGAGATCATTTGTTATTTTTTTAGACGGGATCATATTTTCAACACATGATTATTCAATCAAAAATTTAATAGTTCTTTTCTATACAAGTGTAACATGGTAATTTCTGACACAACACAAAAACAGGACTTGAAATAAACACAAAATTATGAGTTAGGTTAGCAACACAAATTCGTATATAACACGATCCCTTAACACGAACAATAAATAGGTTGAATTAGTATCAAATACGATCAATACATTTAAATATTATTATAAGAATAAAATATCAATTTTTATTATATTTTATCAAGTAGTGACCTAATTTGTGTACAAAAAAAATATTTTTACTCATTACTATTATTATATTTATTGAATTAATTTTTAATTTAGAGAAAAAATATGAGCAAAAGTTTGATTAAGAGATAAAAAAATTTTATACATAAAATAGAGGGTTAAATTTTTTATTGACGGGTTATATCGGCTAACACAAAGATAACATGAAAATACATAAATCAACACGACACTATTAATTAAATAAGTTGAATTAAAATTAATTAATATTCAACATAAAATTAAAATAACCTGATACGAACGCGACGGACGAACTATGGAAGTGTAGTCTAGCTAAAAGACTGATGGGTACGTGTGATTTTGCAAATACCTAATCAACCCAACCTATTAGCTTTGACCATATCTTCTGGTTCCCTTCCTACACGAAACTTCTTTTTTTATTTTTATTTTTCAATTGCCAATCACAAAAGGATTGGTAAGTGTTCGATTGAATAGTTTATTTGATTAAAGGGGCTTACAAATAGTCATTATATAAGTAAAGAAGATTTATATTGAAGATTTACCCCAAAAAAAATATTCTATTAGGGGTCCATTTCTATACTAAGGGTATCTTCAACCCTAACTCAAATTTAAATTTGAGTAAAAAAATTTAAAAAATTTGCTCTAATTTTTATTCAAACTTATACCAAATCAAGGGAGACTATTTTTTTTTACTCAACATCTCAAACTATGACTTAAATTTTTACTCAAATTTAAGTTAGCATTTGAGTAAAAAGTTTGATTTGATACGAAGAACTTCAATTGACAAACTCAAATTTAAAGAATGAGACACTTAAATTTAAATAAGAACAAACTCAAAATTAAATGAGAGTAAAGATGACTATTAGATCTTTAAAATATGGTAAAATCTCACCATTAAAGATGTGAGTAAGGATTTGAGTCTCCCTTAATTTGAGTAAAAAAAAGGTCTCTTGATTTGGTATAAGTTTGAGTAAGGGTTGGAACAAGTTTTTAAAAAAATTTTATTTAAATTTAAATTAATATTTGAGTAAAAAACTTGATTTGATATAAAGGACTTCGATGGACAAACTCAAATTTAAAAAATGAGAGATCCAAATTTAAATGAGGACAAACACAAATTGAAAGAGAGTAAAGATGACTATTGGATCTTTAAAAAATTCTGAAATTTTACCATTAAAGATTTGAGTAAAGATTTGAGTCTTTCTTACTTTGAATAAAAAAATGAGTTTCCTTGATTTTGTATAAGTTTGAGTCAAGGATTGAAACAAGTTTTTTAGACTTTTTTACTCAAATTTAAATTTGAGTAAGGGTTGGAGATGCCCTTAGAGAGACTCAAATTCTTACCCAAATCTTTAATGGTGAGATTTCACCATCTTTTAAAAATTCAATTGTCATCTTTACTCTCATTTAATTTTGGGTTTGCCCTTATTTAAATTTTAATTTTTTCTTCTTGAAATTTGAGTTTGTCCATTGAAACTCTTTGTATCAAATTAATCTTTTTACTTAAATACTAATTTAAATTTGAATCATAGTTGAAAATGCTAAACAGACTTTTAAAAGAACTAAAATAATCCTACTCGAAGGGTTCTAAAAATTCTAGGGGGGAGCCGTGGCCCCCTTAGGCCATGGTGTAGCTCCGCCATGCTTTTAAGAGAACTAAAATAATCCTACTCCAAGGGTTCTAAAAATTCTAGGGGGGAGCCGTGGCCCCCTTAGGCCATGGTGTAGCTCCGCCATGCTTTTAAGAGAACTAAAATAATCCTACTCTAAGGGTTCTAAAAATTCTAGGGGGAGCCGTGGCCCCCTTAGGCCATGGTGTAGCTCCGCCATGCTTTTAAGCGAACTAAAATAATCCTACTCTAAGGGTTCTAAAATTCTAGGGGGGAGCCGTGGCCCCCTTGGGCCATGGTGTAGCTCTGCCATGGCTCGTGCTACAATATTTGGTAAATAAAATTTCAAAAGCATGGTGTTACATTTCGATTCTTTTGGGATGTACAAGAGAGAAGAAACAAGTCAAGTATAAATCATCAGCGAACTTGCCACGTGGTTGGCATTCGAGTAATGTGGAAAACATAGGCCACTTGGTATGACGTTGACAGTAATCAAAGAAAGAATCAGGATAAGTTAACATGACTTGGAGTTCAAGAAAATATTAGTTGTCAGGATTTTGACATCATTAATTGTAGTTTTCTAATTAGTTTAGGATGGAATTTAGTAATGCAATTAAGACTGTTTCACTAAAAATATTTCGTAAATGAGTCCCTTTTAAGATTAATAAATAAAAATATTACCTTTTGTTAATCTTTCTTAAATCATTCTCTTTTACTTAAATTATGTCAATTATTTTTATACAAAAAAGTTCTGAAATAAAACAATTTATCATTTAAACAATTACTTGAAGTACGTCGTCCGTCGAAGGAGAACTATCGGGCAATCGCGAGAGATTTGGACCAACACAATGCGACAACCTTCCCTCAGATTGGCAAACAACAATTCGTAATTTAATTTAAGCTTACACAACACATTCGATTTCAGATCAAAGCTTTGGAAGCTTTGAGTCGCCTCCAATCCTTTGATCAAAATTAGCCTCTCCGACCATCTTAAAAAGTTGGAGTTGTCTACGATATTGAATTATTTTTTTTTTTTGTGTCTTATTGATATTTTCACATTTGTGAGTACTTTTAGTACTATTGTGATAATTAGGTAAATAATAATAAAAATAATTTTCACAACAATGAAAAAAACATACACAAAA